TCAGTCCTTCTCTCATGATTACTAAAAGGGCGAATGCACTACACATATTTCTTATCTGGCATGTACATTCCACTCTGTCTATAATACTTAACATGACGGGTCGTGGCTAGACACGAAGTCCGCGATTATTGGGACATTATCTTCAAAACTCTGTTTATACATGTATATCCTGACTTTGTTTAGAAGACGTATCTTGTAAGCTGAAAGTCGATTCAGGGCCAAAGTTGATACATAATTTAGAAAATATTGAGACTGCGTATATCACAATGATAAGGCCCATTTCAGGGAACGTAACTAGTCAACTGGAGAAAATTACGTCCTGTTTGATGTCCTGTACGCATGTCCTGTTTCTCAGCCAAGACAACATAATGTCTTACCAAAACAGGACCCCCAAACGATTTGGCATTCGCTATTTCCATATTACCAAATTGTGTTTCCTCTGTTTCAGAATTCGTTGACACAGACTTGGAACCAAGACTATATACCATATATTATCATTACTTCATAAAGTTATGCAATTTAATAACTAGTTGCATATTTTATTACACAGTCCTAATAAAGGGGCGTAGATGCAGATTATGAGCTTGAATACATCTAGGTCAAAACATGAAGCAACGGTGGCGATAGAAAAAACACCTTCGTCCACAATGTTATGAAAAAATTATCCGTAACGGGAAGTTGTAGTTAGATATATATAAAATTTATTCCCAAGTTATTTTTGTTCGTCCTGAATAGTAATATATCAATATGTGTATGTAACTTGTGTTAATTTGATTGCAGGTTGGTCATTGCCTCATACGGCATGAACATCACATACGATCACCATGACAACATGAACATAAAATAATGTTAAACTTAATGATAAAGCGACCTTAAATAATCCCCGTCTCGGGTCATAGCCTGTGTGTATGTTAATACAGAATAGTGTTTTGGAATATTTACATTACATATTTTACGAATAAAAAGAATATTGTATACGTTTGTGTCGCCATTGTCTCAATCATCTATACAAGTACGTGTATAGCTATCTAAGTAATCGTGGATAGATTGCCGTGAAACGTATACCTTTTAGGCGGTAATGGATCCGGAAGAACTTTTTATCAGAGAGGAGTCGCATTTTGTGCCAGGAAATGCAGCGTTATTTATTCTTTGTGCTCATGAAAGAATGTAACACTTTTTCCAGCAAAATAATCTCATTACGTCGGCCTCTTCCATCGAGATTTCAGCTAAAAACGTTTCTATGGCAGTCAATTATGTTTTCGTTTGAGCGGGTGAAGCACCGCCCGATCATTGTGATATGTTGTTTGGGTTATACATGTGACATCCCGTCAAGGCGCCGGTCCCGAATACCTTGAGACAGGAGTGCAGACAGGTAAAATACATGCGAGGGGGGAATTAAAAAGCCATAGGGCAGCGATTTACAATTGCTGAACGATGCGTGGCGGGGGGTCTTCGCCACCTGGGTTTTTCGCTCACACCCATTGCGTTCCGGGATGGGTTCTAGATCCCTTCTAGTTCATATTTTCGTAATAATTTTAACAAAAAACGTAGCTGTATAACAAAGACTACCTGAAGTGATAAACTTTTCGTAATTTCAGATTTATTTTTACATCATTCGTTTGATTTAATGGGTCAAAATAGGATTGAAGTTTGACTTAATATAGTTTTTATTTCTTTTGTGTGTAAGATAAGTTGGGCTGATGTGGTTTTGGTTGTTTTGATGTTTAACGCCGCACTCAGCATTATTACAGACGGCGGTCTGTATATAATCGAGTCGGGACCAGACAATCGCGTTTAAGAGTACCTACATACAATCCGATACTGATGTGAATTTAGAACAGCTTTTATTATATATCTCGTGAATATGTCATAAAATATCTGGTATATATAGCACGTGTGTCATATTTGAAAATATTTATAACCCTGAATCACCGAAATGACTTTTGAAAAAAAATAGCACGGCCGTTTGAATTAAAATACACCGATATATATATGAACAATAGCGCATTATGCGACAGAGTGATCGGGATTTCAAATTGATATGACTCTTTCAAGGCCTCACTCGTCGACACCCTGCCGCATAATTCCTGACCCAGTTTCAACCAATGAAAACTTTGTGTGGAACTTGGCCTGTTGCGATTGGTTGTAAAGAAATCACGCGCCCAGGGAGTGCACGGTCACGCCAAGGTCAACAGAAATGACCATTGGTCATCTCGTCTGGAAAGAATTCTTTCGTACAATAGGAAAAATTGAGGATGGGCCAAACAGTGGCATATTTCAAACTGCCTAGCTTTTCAAATTCCTGCTTAAATAGTTTAAAGTTTTGCATGTCAAGATCGCCGCTGTGTCCTGTTTGTTTATTGTTAGACAGGAAGTAAATTTGTATAGAATTAAAACCAGATATCCGTTAAATGTCTTTTCAGTATCTTAACGAAAACATAAGAAATTGACCTTCAGTATTCCCCAATATGCAAAAACATTTTTGCTTGTATATTTCCTCGAATTGTGCAGTGCGAAAATTAAAATCAAATTGTACCATCTCTGTATGAGATAACGAAATTGAATTCATATATTTCGTTTGATATATACAGTTACGAAGATATCATTATAAAAATTAAATGTGTTCTATTGGTATGTGGGTGATCACTCTGACAATGTTGGACTGGCAAAAACCGTGTTGAACAAGGACAAACAGCATTAATTGTCAAAATGCACCAAACGCATCCCTTACTTTATACCCAAAAAGAATAATCTTGATATATTGAAATTTTTCTCTTCATACAATTAAACAAAATAATTTAAGAATGAACTGCAAATAACGATGCGGCATGTGAAACAAACGCGTAGGCACAGCAGATTTCCTTTACGCCGGAACCTGCACGTGAAAGTTATATCCTCGGTATATATATAAATTCAAACGTATATATTTCTGGAAGTAAATAACTTATTTTATTTTAAGTTACAACCCGCTTTTAAATCGCAATGTGAAAATAACGCAATTACTCTCAATGCGGTATTCAAGTATACGCTCCTGCGTATATTGTTTTATAATTAATCAAAGACAACTCCCATTTTTAGTCCATGATTAAAAAAGAAAAGAAACATTCGCTCATCATATTCCAAAATACAAAAATGTCAAACACGTTTCTCTGTAACAGCCTTAGAAAATCCTTTGAAAACACCACGAATCTTAACACGGGGAATTTCGCACACTTATAACCGAATTTACGAAATGGTTAAAATAATAGTCCTGGACTAGGTAATTATATACCAGAGTCTCTGAGGTCTTTTAACTTGAACATTATCGTCAGTTTTGTGTACAGCATACACCTTCGGACGGGATCAATACAAATAACAGCGAAAAAACCATTTCAATAATCATAACAAATCTCTGCAAAAGTAGAGTCGATTGTACGATTCCGGCAATATCATGAGCAAGTGTTTATGAATCACTATCAATTAGTGACGATACCAGGTGTTCGCGAAAAGGTGAGCGTATCCTAACCCCACTAGTGGCACCGTCACAAGAAAACACTGTATATATATATGGGTGTGAATTTAAGAAATCCCTTCAGAAATTATAGAAACGAAGTAATCAAAATCCAAAACAAATTGTGAATCTTTTCAGTTGTGTTTAGATGTATATTACTTCCCTCCTTGTTCAAACAGAGATATAATATATTATTGCAAATACACATAAAATATTCGCCATAAACAGGGGGCGGCTTCATGTATATTTTTGCACGCACTAAACTGCAGAAAGTGTATCGTAAATATAAACTAACAACTATGTATGCGGCCAGTTCTAATTTATTTTTAAAACAATGTCAAAAATAGCCACAGCTATAAATCAAAAACAATTGCGTGTTATTTCCAGAGAGCATCTCTCGATCATGGCGCCTTCAATCAAAGGATAAATCCAATCAACTCAGGTAAAGGTGTGGATTAACAACAACACAACCCTTTATGTCCAGGTAGATCAGTACAAAACATTAGTTCCAAATATGTAAACAGGTATAATGATCTTAATAAAAGCTAAACGATCAACTCCGATACGTGTTGTATTCAGGGTGATGCTGAAAGCTCCATCGGTTACGTAATCAAGTGTTTCATAAACATAATCTATGCTAACTCGTCAAAGCTTCAAACATATTATAGAATTGCCTGACACGATTATCGAATTATATAATTTGAAACAAAATAATTCATTTTCCTAAAGAAACCGAAAAAAATGCTGTTAGTGTTATGAAGACGAAACAATGTGTTTTCTTGCTTGTGGCATCAAAGTAACCAATAGCCGTGAGTGACGCAAGGGGGAGGGCGCTCCAAGACCATGGAAGACGCAATTCGATGCCGTCCCGACACAGATGTTGTTTACATTTTTCAACCGAGGAAAAAGTTGTTGTCATTACAGCAATACACTTTGTGCGTACCATCCCTTTATATTTCCTGTTTATAAAAACCCAGTCAGAGAGATAATGACTGCGAACCCTACCGACGCAGTTTCGACCGAGGGGTTGTAGGGATTGGTAAAATCTGGCGGGTTAATTACAGGGAAGGGGCGCGAAGTGCCATCTTTGACCCATCCCTTACCTCCGAATTTGGTGGTTAAAAGGGTTGTTAACCCAGATTTTGCAGACATTTGCTTTATGTTATCAAATCGCAGCCGAACATAATAAAACTAAGTTCCAAAACGAGAATGAAAACTTTAATATCTATGCAACAACAAACAACGATTTCAATGCTTATTAAAGCTGCAAATAGGTTAGTGCACATTCCGATTAAACACATGCAAAAACGTTAAAAAGTAAACAATGATTTAGCAAAAAAGTATTGCAAACATTTCGTTCGTTAATATTCATGCTAAATATGTAATAACAGGAATGGCATTGTTTCTGAACGTGGAATAGCACGTGTGCATCATAACTGTTAACGAATATTTCAACCAGAGCGAAGTAAATTTATCAAAGGTGTGAAAATGTCTGACTTTCTGTCTGTACCTCGTCTTTGGTGGGAGCCGTGAACTCGACCATGAGCTCGTCTTTCCCTTCAGAGAGTCGGCGACTTTGTATTCGGCATCTGAGCTCTTCCTTCAGGAGAGGAGTGAGACGCCCGCTCTCCAGGGCGGCATAAGTCGCCTTGACCAGTGTCAGGTCGTCCAAGTCGCCCAGCTCCTGCATAAATGCTGCCGTGGTCAACGCCGTTGACTCGTGCACGTCCACACTGCTCGCCATCGTCATGGCAGACACGCTTTTACTACGATCAGCTGGGGCCAAGACGTGTTGTGGTATTTCTCCGCTCAAGCCTCGAAGCAAATGGTTTCAGCGGAAAATAAACGAAATAATTCGAAATTCAGCTGCGAAAAATTTCTTTTCCTTAAAATATTGATTGTTGACTATTTATCAACGATAATGTATCCTTTTTGGTAAGTTTGAAATTAATATTTAATCAGAATAAACCAAAGTTCAAGATAATGCCTTCCAAGGTGACGTCACCAGTCCGAATTAGATAGAGCTATTTTTAGATTCCAAACAATAACATTTTGCCTTGCTCGCGTTGTGCTAAAAGAATGACATCACTATCTCCTCAATCGGAAATAAATTAATTCCTCGTGGCCGACGCGAGCCTAAACACTTCGATGACCATTCCCGCTTTGCGACACCGTGGCGACGATGTAGGGGAGACAACTGAAGAGACGCTGTAGGCCGTTCCCCACCTCACTACCTCACTTGACAATGTGCCAAGTACTTCTTTATGACCATGAATTGATCGAAACTAGTAAATATGCACGCCATATTGTTGGACTAGTGCCAAACGTTCGAATGAAATTAGACCCCTAATTTGACAATCGCTTACTAATGGTATTATTTAATTCCACTTAAACTTTTCCTACCGCCTGTCTGAGCGTGGAGGAATAGAGTATGACTCCCGCCTGTCTCCAAGGGAAAATGCTTTACCGAGGTATACCCACCATATGTACTCGTCTAGACGTTTAATAACCTCTATATACTCCCAGCAGTACGAAGCTCTCATTATTTCTCATAGAGAGGTCAATTAGAAAGTACATCAACTTCTTTGTAGAACGATCCACAAAACAACGCATTGACTCATTCTATACAAACGATTAGGCAAAACAGCTAACTTACCAGCAAATCAAATCACCGAGAAACCAGCAGAGCGCCAAGTACAACCCTCCTAGCCCCGTCGTCCACACTGCGACCCCCGAGCCAGAAATAGACCTGTCTGCTTTTTTTGTCTGCCATTGCAAAAAACAGTATCCACATGTTGGAAGGCATTGCTTTAGCCGTCGTCCGAGTCGATGTGCCTCTATCCAGAGAGACAGAACGACAAACACTGATTGAGTGAGAGAAGGTGGGGGCGGTAGTGGACATAGAGACCGGTCGGCTTTACCGGTGGAGGAAGTATAGCATATAGGATGGGCATTTACCGAGGAGTGGTACTTGCACTAGCGAGCGCTGACTCATACTGTCTTGTGGAGACAAGGAACCAGATTGCCGTCAATATACACAGCCAGCATTCCCCTAGGTCCGCGATGACTGTGTACGGCTGGTCGCTTTACGTAGTGAGTGTGTATGCACAGGATCCGGTTTACGAAGGGCTGCGGAGTTCGCCATATGCCGGTCGCCGGTAGCGACAGTACAACGTGATTCGATTTTATTTTATTGTGTCTTTCGATCGTGTTTATAACATCAGCTGTGAGGTTGATCACATTTATACCCCCTAACACCTGTGTGTATACAGTTGTAGGGGGGATGAACGATTAGGATGGCGCCAGGATTTTTAAAGTTTGTTATCCGGGAGTCTGTGAGCTTGCGAATATTATTTGACAGCCATCAAAGACAAGCGTAATTACCACAGTAGTCAGCTAGTGCAGTCGTATTGATCACAAAAATGTGTGTCATGTATATACATGGGTCCCAACAGACGTCAATGACTCTGCAGTATTATACAGGGCAAGTATTTCACCGGTAGACAGTTTTTTCAAAGACGAAAGTAAATTTCCATGTTTTTTCCTCGGTCTAGCTTTTTTCGCTGTTTTATGAGTGGAGATGCGCGCGGGTGTTGGTGTTAGCGAGAGAGCGCGAGAGGTGGCTATTTATACAAGGATACATTGCAAGACTCAACATGTTGCCGTGGTGCACAGCAATCGACAGACGCCCAGGATAGATCATCACGTCATTCAGGGGAGGTAACTCGCGTTACGTACAGCTGGAAGATCTCGTCAAGGGAGCATCTCAAAGATAGCTTAGAATGACTCATCCCTTCATTTAGACACCAGAGGCAAGCTTCCATAGCCAGTATCGACCAAACTCTTGTTTGACGCGGTCAACGTGATTCGCGTTCACAGAAATATCGTTAATTCAAGTGTCTATAGAAATATTAAGACCTCACTTACAGTATTGTCAATTATCGCCTAAGTATAGTATATTTTCATCCTAATACAACTATAATTCTATCCGATGTTTATACGTGCCCCGGGAGGTGATATTTATGGTGCTGACGATCAGCGGTAATGCTATCGCATTGACCTTGCCTTTCGATACCAATCCTACCCAGTTATACAAACATTAATTCTTACATACAACTCATGCACATTGTGTTTCAAACGTCATAATCACCAGAATATTCTTATAAAACCAAACATCAAAATAAATTTATCATTTAAATGATATATACAAGATAATTCTAAAAATATGCATATAAAAATAATAGATTTAATATATAATATTTTTTTCATTGTAATTAAACATATCATAGTGTCCTATAGATGAATGCCGTCACCACATAGGAAATATATTTCTGTTTCATAACCTGGTATGAAGTCTTGAATTCAACACGGAAAACATGCGTTGGTTCGTCCATTCTCCCGTTTTAATACCACGATTATTTCATAAGTTACATACATCTGTAGCCGTTACATCTGTGACATTTGTTGTTGACGACCACAAGAAACTGACTTGTTGTTTACAGTCTTATAGAGGCGCATTGTTCATCAATCTGGCATGTTATTCAAACCTTATTACTGTCAAGTTTTTCACAAGACAGACATGTATACCGCTACACCCCCCACCCCCCACCCCAACCCCCATCCACACCCCAGCAAAATGTGCCAGTTGTGTATTTTCATAGAGTGACGCTCGACCGGGGATAATTCATATTACAACTACAAAGAATCATTGTCAATTATGACAAACTTCATAATTTCATAAAATTCATATCACATTATATTAACTGTGTATATTTGTTACGTTCTAATTCTGTTGGAATATGCTCAGTGTAAGAGTAGGTAGACTTATGGGGAATGAAATGTTTTAAATTTTGAAATAAAAATAGTTCTCACCACAAACTACAATCATTACACGGCTACTCGTCTCAGCATATACACATATACAAATCACCGCTCAGTATTCGTGCACATAATATACAGAATTAACCTCACTTTCCTTATGTTTACTATCCACGTCCTATGTATGAATTAGGTTTCCACAAATGTCTGAGGGTTTTCTATTGACAGATTTGATAAAGTATATACATATATACTGTTATACTCTATAGTTATCTTAATTTCTGCCGGGTAAAAGAAAGTCTACTCCCATGTTTGATGGTGGCTAAATAAGAAATAAACAAGAAATGGTTATTCGATGGTGATGTATTTGATACAGGTATGATAGTATAGCTTTGGACGTTTGCTTTGTTTAGGCGACTGTTTTCGGACCAGTAACAATTTGATTTATGTTTGATATTTTTTTAATCATACAAACAAACACAAACAAACAAACAAACACGCTCGCCCCCCTGTCCACACCAACCTCTACATTGTTATCAAATAAACCATCAATATTGAAAAAAATTCTCTTCTTAAAAAATAACACAATTGTGAACATAGTTTGTACAACAATACATTATATCTATCCATAATTCCACATTATGCGAATGAATATTGCATAAAGATAATAAATAATTATTTAGCTTGTGCATTAGAATCTTGCATCAGTGTGATGATAATTTATTATCCAAACCTGGCTTTCATATAAGATATTGCTTGACGTCACAATCCTCTGACAACTCTAATCGCTCTGCCGCTGAAGCTGGTCAGCGGTACTTTTCACACTCAAGACACTTGGTATTACTGTTTACAAACTTAAAAAATTGAAAGAATGATGTTCAATGACAGTTAAAATCTCACCCGCGTGTCTTTTTCTATAAATATATCAACACGCGTGGATAAAAGCCTCGGAGAGTTAAACTTGTATCAAGTCGTGTTGAGGTATTTGACATCAGAGTGAGTGTGTGAGTTTTGTTTAACACCGCTTTTAACAGTATTCCAGTTATATCACGGCGTGTCAGCTTAATGTGGGAGGAAAGCCCGAAGTGATGCAGGTCTCAGAAGTTTACCACTTCGGTGAAACCCACGAGCACGGGTATGGTGCTGACAAACCTGGAAACATAATCGGGGCGAACCGGGATTCGAACCCACAATCATAGGTTTCTGGCGTGCCCAAGATTTGACAGAAGACACTCGGATGAGATTCTGTGTGGTTGGATGTGTTGAATGTTTTCACCTCTATACTCTAACCTTCTCTCACTACACAGAGATGTTTTTTAATGTTGCTGATGCGGCCTGAATTGATATTCACTCATCCTCTCAAATACGTAACTGCTTATCCCACAGATGTTGAACAAACACGTAACACCGCCTGTTTAAGCCCACATATAGGATACGTTAGAGTGATTTTGTTTTAAATATATATCAAGTTATATCCACACGATCGGGTTCGGACAAACCAATGGTTGATGGTATGACCATCAACCCACGCTGTCGGGGTAAAAGGACACCTCCCGATTACAACCTTAAGCGTTTTTTACATGTATATACATGTACTACTTACATGTTACACCCCACACGCTCCCCCCCCCCCCCCCCCCCCCCACTCACCCCACACACCACACACACACACACCACACCACACACACCCTACACACCCCACCCCCCCCCACACACACACCCCACACACACCCGACACATCCCGCCCAACCTGGTCACACACCCCACACACCCGACACACACCCGACACATCCCGCCCAACCTGGTACTGTTCAACCTATGGAGTTGGGATAAATGTTTTAAAAAAATTACATTTTGCCCCTGGGGTAAATGCATACATGTACACCAGGCTTTAGTAGGCCTGTATATTATACATGATATCCGTATTTGACGTAATCTCAAATGATAAATCCTAAACATGTTTAGATTATTAAGATAATACACAATGATCTGCCTTTTGTCTTAAACTTGTTTAAATTCTGGACGTATATTATGGGGATGTTGTGTTTAGGTGGTGTTTAGGCTTAAAGACGATAGCTCCTTCCATGTGTTTAGACTCCAAACGTGTTCGGGTAGAACAAACGAAACTTTCATTCCGTTTAGGCTGATTTTAACACATTCCTAAATGTCTTGTATGTGTTTACATTCTAAACACATTTATAACAATGTAATATTGGTGTTCTTCAACGTGACATTATTACGGGACTCCCTATAGCGGCGTGACTCCAATACAGTAATGCAGTCTAAGATGCACGAACATGGACTTGAGGAAGTCACATTATTCCTTTAATGGTTGGTTGGTTTGTTGTTTAACGCCGCACTCAACAATATTCCAGCTATATGACGGCGGTCTGTAAATAATTGAGTCTGGACCAGACAATCCAGGGATTAATATCATGAGCATCGATCCACGCAATTGGGATCGGTGACATGCATCAACCGAGTCAGCGAGCCTGACCACCCGATCCCGTTAGTCGCCTTTTACGACAAGCATAGTCACCTCATTATTCCTTTAAGAAACTTTATATGGATATATATGTCAGCCACGCACAGACTCTTTTCACCTGTTTATTGCTGCTTTATGTTAGTTATTTGCCGGACATTTGATAACGAAAATGACTTAAATGTCAATCTGGTACTAATTGTTTCTTGGTCAACTTTAGTTGCTTATTCCTGTACGTACCGACTTGGCATTATAGTGGAGCGGTAAGGGCAGGATTTTGTCAGAATCGTGCACATTCGGTTAAAAATACCAAACATTGGACACGTATACATTGATGTGGCTCAGCTTAGCAGCGGCCCCTGATAGTAGAAAATCCTCGATTAGCAGCCTGGGAACTACAAGTTGTACAACCCTGAAACTATAGTTGGACATCCCGTGAACTATCAGGTGAGCATCCCGGGAACTATAAGTTGTAAAACAGTGGAACTATAAGGTGAACAGGCCAGGAACTAAATGATGAACAGACCAGGAACTATGAGTTGTACAACCCTGGAACTATAAGGTGAACAGGCCAGGAACTGTACGTTGTACAACCCTGGAACTATAAGGTGAACAGGCCAGGAACTATAAGGTGAACAGGCCAGGAACTATACGTTGTACAACACTGGAACTATAAGGTGAACAGGCCAGGAACTATATGTTGTACAACACTGGAACTATAAGGTGAACAGGCCAGGAACTATATGTTGTACAACCCTGGAACTATAAGGTGAACAGGCCAGGAACTATAAGGTGAACAGGCCAGGAACTATATGTTGTACAACACTGGAACTATAAGGTGAACAGGCCAGGAACTATATGTTGTACAACCCTGGAACTATAAGGTGAACAGGCCAGGAACTATAAGGTGAACAGGCCAGGAACTATAAGGTGAACAGGCCAGGAACTATAAGGTGAACAGGCCAGGAACTATACGTTGGACATCCCGGGAACTATTAGGTGAACAGACCAGGAACTATAAGGTGAACAGGCCAGGAACTATAAGGTGAACAGGCCAGGAACTATACGTTGTACAACACTGGAACTATAAGGTGAACAGGCCAGGAACTATCAGGTGAACAGGCCAGGAACTATACGTTGTACAACACTGGAACTATAAGGTGAACAGGCCAGGAACTATACGTTGTACAACACTGGAACTATAAGGTGAACAGGCCAGGAACTATACGTTGTACAACACTGGAACTATAAGGTGAACAGACCAGGAACAATGAGGTGAACAGATCAGGAACTATACGTTGTACAACACTGGAACTATAAGGTGAACAGGACAGGAACTATACGTTGGACATCCCGGGAACTATTAGGTGAACAGACCAGGAACTATAAGGTGAACAGGCCAGGAACTATAAGGTGAACAGGCCAGGAACTATACGTTGTACAACACTGGAACTATAAGGTGAACAGGCCAGGAACTATAAGGTGAACAGCCCAGGAACTATACGTTGGACATCCCGGGAACTATAAGGTGAACAGACCAGGAACAATGAGGTGAACAGATCAGGAACTATACGTTAGACATCCCCGGAACTATTAGGTATAACTATTAGTTGTACAACCCTGTAACAATAAGGTGAACAGATCAGGAACTATATGGTGAACAGACAGGGAATATTAGTTGGACATCCCGCGGACCTTTATTTGAACAGTCTGGCCACTGTAATTTGGGCAGAAAGAGAACTATAAATTAGACAGCCCAGAACTACAAGACGTACATCCATGGACCTATCAGTTACACGGGCCGGTAACTATCATTTAGACAGCGCGAAAACGTGTGTGTACGTCATAAATGCCCCACTTAATTTATTAGGTGCAGGTGTGTCAGTTCCATGTTATACTCAATGGTATTGTTTTCAACAATGTAATATTATACCATTAATATGACATGTTTGTTCGGCCTAAGGTGTGATGCTTGATGACGAAACATATGTAAAGGTTGCATCACAGGAGGAGCAGATGCTTCAAGGTATACAAACATAAAGTTTCACGCATACACACATCAAATGTTTTGTTTGTTTCTTGTTTAACGCCGCACTCAGCAATATTCCAGCTTTATGACGGCGGTCTGTAAATAATCAAGTCTGGATCAGACAATCCAGTGACCGACATCATGAGCATCGATCCACGCAATTGGGATACGATGACATGCATTAACCAATTCAGTGAGCCTGACCACCCGATCCCGTTGGTCGCCTCCTACGACAAGCAAAGTCGCCTTTTACGGCAAGCATGGGTTGCTGAAGACCTATTCTACCCCGGATCTTCACGGGTCTAATGTATGTGTGTGGACATCCACGTATCCTTCGTGTAAATACAAATGTATACCCATGGATAAAAGTGTATTTCGTTTAGAAACATTTTATATGAACCCTTCAATGTATTAATGTTCTGATGGAACACATTTGGGTTTACTTTACGAAGTGGCGAATTCGTATTGACATACACAAAATTACCCAGCTACGAATTACTTTTAACAAACTGTTGCAGGAATGAGGGATGGATAAATAAACATAATCAACTTCAACAACAATTCTTGAAATTTTCATTTTCTGATTATGTTCATAAAAAAACTTGTTGTTAATACCGCACTGTATTCCAGCTATATGGCGGCGGTCTGTAAATAATCGTGTCTGGACCAGATAATCCAGTGACTGACATCATGAGCATCGATCTAAGCAATTTTGATACGATGATATGCATCAACCAAGTCAGCTTGCCTGATCACCCGATCCCGTTAGTCGCCTCTTACTATATAAGTGGAATATGGTGGGGCTCTTTTTCAGTTGTCCAGTCCAACCAATCCTCTTTTTATACTGAATGACAGCCGCCAAATAGAATTACTCTATATTTGGGTTTTTTAAGTAATAATATTTCATTGCCATGTCTCGCACGTGACACGCCTCTGGTTTGATATCCGTAGAATATACCCAAATGATCACAATAAAATTCTATAAATAAATAAAGTAAACAACTGTCAACATATCTTGAAACAATGCGAACCTCCAAGTTTCGTGTCGCCGTTGACACAACATGAACTGCCGGGGAAAAGAATGTATACACTTGAAAATAAGTTTCAGCCAAAATAATTAGTAACATTATCAAAACGTTACTGGGCAGAAAACGATCGCCGAAAAACTGCAAACTACAAACCAAGACTGTATATACATCGCCCTTGTTTCGTTTTATAGTCACCACCTAACATGGATTGAGACTTTCTAGTACCCGGCCCTTTAGTTATCAGTTGACTGAACATAGACGGAGAGGTATAATTATATTTCAAGAGAACTGTTGATGTCATTTACAAAGAAGTGTACGTATACTTAGGACAAGGGCATTGTCTGACGGTAGTGCCACTTCGTTTTAGATAAGTGAGTGAGCGAGTGAGTGAGTGAGTATGGTTTTACGCCGCTTTTAGCAATATTCCAGCAATATCACGGCGGGGGACACCAGAAATGGGCTTCACACATTGTATCCATGGCGGGAATCGAACCCGGGTCTTCGGCGTGACGAGCGAACGCTTTAACCACAAGGCTACCCGACCACCCCTCGGTTTAGATAAGATACCCATGTATCCAACAGTCGATCGTATCCAACAGTCGATACATGTATTTAACCTTTTGACATTTAATAATAGTCAAACCGTCTAACCACTATACCTGTTCATGCATCATGTTAACTGTATTCCAAATGCTTGCATGTTTTTGTGGGTGTATATTTTCTTCTGACCTACTTTCATCGTAAAATAAGCAGAACATCATTGTAAAAATGAAACAATAAAAATAACATATTTTTTTCTTTCAGGTTAAGAATATTTATTTCAATACAATGACTAATTTTGCTCCCGTCAATTTGGCAAAGAAAATCAATACATTGTTTTCATGGTTTGCATGAATAATAATTTATATTCATTAATATTTATATCAGTGCAGTACAAACCCACACCTCGCGGTATCTGTGACACACCCTCCCCACTTGCGCAATGCCACAATAACACACACACACACACACAATCATCTCCAATCTTCCCGATCAGTCTCATAAAATATAAAATTATATTATATGTCAGTTACACATGTGTACATATTTTGGCTAAAAAAATTAATCTCATTTCGTTCTTGGTATGACTGCTAATTATCAAATGGTATTCAGTGTTTAAGAGATCTTTGGAAAGACGATTGTCTTGAAATGACTGGTAGAGACTAAATGATAACAGGCCATATGAAAATAAAGGCAATGTAAATATATGTATATATGGTATGTTCATTATATCATGGGAATGAAATAAATATAGTTTTGAGATCATGATCCATATCTGCTCATGGTACAGTCCGCCATTCTTCTAAGTCAGAAGCCCGAGTGCCACACACCACGCACGGCTCTATGTACAGCTTACCCATGTGCTGCACGTGCTTTATGCATATTAAGTGACAAATTAAGAATGTTGATTTCATTTGCACCACTTATTTTGGACCGTCGACGAATGCCCACAAAACAGTTCTTGAGATAAACACCTTCAGCCACAACCCTGTAGCATTCCCCCATGTCCCAAATGGTCCCAAATGGTCCCAAATGGTGTCAGCAAAGTGGGTTCGGGGCAGGGACGAGTATCGGGTTGCTGCACGTGAGAAGATGCTCGGCGAGTTGAGAAAAGAGGCACGCACGTTCTTGGAGAAGATCCTTGACCTTGGCACGGAGGGCCGTGTTCTTGTCAAGAAGTAGCTCCATCTCCTAAAAGATACAAAGTATAGTTTAGATTACCGGCGGTTGAGGTTTGATGAAATGTATGCTTTTGTAAATATGTTTTCAAGTGTACACGGCAAAATGGGGTATTTCTAACGCTGACGATGTTAGATGTTCAACTTTTTAATTGAATAAAAAAAACTCTCGGTAAAATTATGAATTTTATTTAGATTATGCGTTCAGCCTTTTTAATACGAATCCCATCCAACTATCTTCGTCTGCATCAGTAGCGAATGAGTGACCTTGGTTTAACGACGCTCTGGATAGTATTTCAGTTACGCCAGCTTCGTGTGGGAGGAAATTCCGAAGTGATGCAGGTCTTAGACGTATACAAAATGTGTGAAACCAACGAGAACAGAATGGTGCTGACAAACCAAGAAACATAACCAGGTCGAAGCTCGGATTCAAACCCATGATCACTGGTTTCAAAATATGGGAGATGTTTTAAGTACTACGATCATCATATTCGTGGGGAACTGTTTCTTCTAAGCCATGCCAAAACTCTCTTTTCCAGCCAGGTTAATTTACTGGTAACGAAAGTATCTGGATTAACGAGGTTCGTAAATATAGTAGGTGGAAAATGTCACGTTTTACTACAGACGTCACGGTGTTATGTTGAGGTCGCACTCTGCACTAAGCCACTAGCAAAGAACACCAAAACCTGGATATTGAGATTTATATAGTCACGAGTTACCTATTTACCTAAATAAAACAACAATCATATTTAGCATGAACTGCACGTGCAGCACGTAATCATATGCATGAAAAACTCCTGTTCATTTGGACACAAATGACTTCCACGTGATCAAATGACGCCATTTCATTGGACAAGAGCCTCTAGCTATGTCCCACCTGCAGGTGCGCGTCTGTTTCATCCTTCTTCTTCTGTCGGAACCGTTTTGCTGCTCGTCGGTTCTGTTCCTGTCTCTTCTTCCTCTTCTCCACTTCCTCTGCGGTCAGCTGCAGCAATACACGAGACGTACAGGTTAACCAGGCTCCAAACATTGTCAATAATATTCAACTTGTGTGCAACATATTCGCTAAATTCGTGTGAATTGTTAATTATTGATGTTTGGGGGAAACACCGTATCGTGTAATGTCTTGTTTGGATTAACACATTTTTAAAAAGTATGTAAAAAATCGCATTTATTACGTGACGCTTTTATTTACGAAACTAGTTTAAAAAATTGTTGTTCTGGTCCATACTCGATTTTATACAGAGCCTCGTGATGCTGCTTGAATGGGGTTGGGTGCGGCGTTAAAAGCATTCACTCACTTGATAGTTATTAAATACGTTTTCAGTGATTATGATTCGGTTTTTTAAAATATAAAATATATTGGTCATGTACAAGATGCTGTAGGCTGTCGCAGTACTGTTGTCCGATCTGTATTTACCAACTTTGTTAAATAAATCAGAGGTACTTTGTAAACGAACAACTAAAACATTACGTTTACGTGTCGTGTAAAAGTGTCATACACTGATGTAGAGGATACAGGACATTTGAAAACAAATGACCCAGAAATCTGGAAACTTATTTCTCATGTATGAAACAAACCCACATAAATAAATACATAAATCAAAGGGAACTCCAAGTGTCACAAAGTTGAAATGCTGGAACGTTTTATTCACGACGAAGACTCCAGTAATGTTTTATAGAAAAGTGTATTTACAGTTAAGAAAATTCACTTTTTGTACGCAAAGGTTGACATGCGTGACATCATCATAAACACACAGCTGATTTCGCCAGACGGAAAAGTGTTTGAATTGTATCAAAGCAGAATATAAATAAGTAAGAAGGGCATATTGATAGTTTTATGGGCCGTATGACGTATGCTTGCACGGCGAACATCGTTGGGTTCATGAAATGTGGTTGGTAATAATGTTCTGAGTATAGCGTACGTGGATATGTCTGTTCTGGTATATTCACAATATACCCACAAATACATACACACATTCCGATACATTCGACAACCAAACATATTGCTGTTTGTGGATAAAACGAAATATCATCAACTATTATGTGAATATTGACATCAGAAACTTCTATTGAAATAAGAAAATATAGGCCAAGAAAATCAAGAAAACATTACGACGTTTCTATGAAACAGCACTACTTTTCATAATTTAGAACTTATTTTACCCCTTGTTTTAGAATCTTTAAAACTCATGTATAAAAATACTCTTTGTGGTCATTAAAACATAATCAAACATATGTTGTAGTTAGTATTTCTCCGTGTGTTTCAATGAGCGGTTAGATTGTTTCCATACAGAACAAAAAAGTTAGGAATCATGAAATATTTTATATACAGTTCGCATTTAGACAAACTCAGTCTTAACTACCAAAACAATATCCCAAAAAATATCCATAATCCCTGTTTTTTTGTTCAGTATATAAAACTGAGGCACTATGCACCTCTGCGTCCAGAAATAATCCTACAGATTGATAAAGATTGTGTAATCTGTTACTGGTGAAATGATAAAGTCACCGAATATCTGCAACCGTTACTACAAGCTTTTATCTACACTGACCTAAATATAAAAACACGTTTTCTGTCTCCAAACAAAAATGAAACACTAGCATAACTAAATGTAATTAAATACACTAAGGAGATTACATTTAGTCCGTTCACCAATATATTTTACCAACAAAATGAATGACGCACCGTTAGACCTATGCGGCGTTGGAGAGAATAGACCAAGTCGCTCAAGGCAATACAAACAAAAGTTTACGAAACTGAAGTTTCCATAACTTTCATATATAGATATTACGTAGGCATTAATCAGCGCCATTATTGCTCCGAATCACAATATTTTCCTTCCCGTGTGATAAAGTCCTGTCGTGTTACCTCGTGCGTGTGAGAAGAAGAAGAAGTGTTTAAGCTGGACACATTCATCTCGTCTTTTCCCTCTGTAAGTCTGCGAGACTGTATCGTATATCGTAGTTCCTGTTTCAGTAGGGGGGTGATGGAGTTACTGGCCAACGCCCGCTCCTGAGCGTTCAGCAGCTCCTGGTCCTGAATACAACCAACATCGACATTGCCAGGTAAGTTAAAATCAAATAAATCTTCTGAAAACATTGTCAAAAAGGAAGACTTTGGAAAAAGCGCGAATCACGTGTGTGTAGTTAAGCCGTGTTATAGCGTAGCGCCACGCGACCACACTCCACTGTAAGGTCGATGCTATGTGGTTACTGTTGTTGTTATCGCGCATTAACGCGCGTTACTCTCGAACCGAGGGCTCGTATGAAGCCACACATGACATTACGTCAGCAAGGTGAGTCTATTTATAGCAGAACTTGTCGCGGCAGCTCGCATGCACTTGTCAGACTTTGCTAAGCTTGGCGGGATAAGCCCTAGTGGTGTGTCGCCATACAATCTGTAACAAAACAGGAAGACAGACTAATGTGTAGCCAAAGACACAACATTAATCTGCATTTTTTTTTAATTTCCCGGATCAGTTATAATAGCTAAATCATAATTATCCCTATATAGGTCACATACTACTGTGAACATAGAAAATTACCAGACTGTGTTGCTTTAATTATTGTCTTGTTTTTCCACACACAATCTCGTTATTTGTCTAAATGGTAGTTATTTTACTGGTCATCAAATACGGTTGACATTTAAATGTGATAAGGGGTGGACGAACGAACAATTTGTTTTCCACCAAAACAGTAATTAAGAAGATAAAGTAATTATTTAAAAAGACAAGACAATGTGACAATTACCGGTTTCAATTAACCCGGAAACCATAACATCCACATATTTATACCCGGCCTGTATACATTGTATATGGTCATCTGGTTAATAAGAAAAAATAAATTGTGATCAGATGAAAAGAAGTTTTTCCCCGACTTTTAAGACAATATAACCGGAAGATCCACAATTTAGGGACAAAAATTTAAAAAAAATTGGCCTAATTTTCTAGATTGATTCGCCGCATCACCATTTATATAATATTATTTATAAGTAGAGAACTTTTAGTGCTGGGGATTGTATTTTTTTTCTCGAACTTAACTGAGAAATGCTGATTTATGTCGTGTTGTGAAGGTGGACCTTTTTTCATGCTGGGTATTAATTTCAATCTCTATACTTATACATTCGCCGCTTGAATATGCACGTCTCTGATCTATGCAGAAGGATACATAAATAGAGTTCTATTACGAACCCGTTACTCAGAATCACATTTTGTATTTCTTCCCCAACGAGTCTTTTACGGCGCTTCTATAACTTACCAAAGCGCGGATAGCGTGCTGCTGTTTCCAACAAGAGAATCTTCGATATAGGTATTTGTATAAGCTAAGTGTCGCTGTAGGTATCGTCGCAACTCGAGTATTGTAGTGACATGGGACCTTCGTCAAACTGTGCAACCAAACAGCATCGGTATTATTTGACGTGATGGCACTTTTATATGCTCGATTGCTAAAATACACCACATCTTAACCACAGCTTAAAATGAAGTATAGATTATATAAAAAAATATTACATTTCTGTGTGCATTACATGTATATAGATTTTTCGAAATTTGTGTCAGAGTTTATGACTTAAACAAAATTTAGCTTCTTTCGTGAAAACAATGTCATGCACACTTTATATCACAGCTAGTTATGAAGTATAGCTTACAAAGAAAATAATAAATTCATGTGGGCATCAAACAGCTTTTGTGAAATTTGTGTCAGAGTTTATGACTCGTGAAATCAATAGGACACTCGTTATAATCTATATTTACATAAGTTAAAAAAATAATATCCCCAGTTATGTAATTAGTGGTCACATTCTATGATATGATTAGACGGAGCCAAGTTCTAAGATCCGACTGCACCAGTCCCCGAGTCACACTGCCACTTGGCTGTGTGAGTACCTGCTTCCAACTGGTTCTTGGTTGGTCAGCGCCGTACCCGGGCTCTTTGGAGCCGCGCTGGCAGTAGACATCCAACCTGCGTCACTTTGGGCTTCCTCCCGCCGTAAGCTATGGAATACCAGAAGTGACACTGTCGCGTTGTCACCCTTGCACAAACAAGTAAAAAGCGCGACCAAAGCGCGACAACGCGACAATGTCCCGTTAGGATTCAGTTGTAAGCAGACACGCCGTGACGTAGCCTTACTGAAAAGAACAACCGACTGGTATTTGTGATAACATTTTCGCTGTCTGGACCGTATTGGAATGACCAGTATTTTATTCTTGTTATTTCAGTAGAATTTGTGTAGTTATTTTTTCAAAATTCATAACTAATTCAAAATTTACAGTTATTTGACAAATTCATAATTCTTCCTTGGTGACGACTTGCTCTTCAGCAACGTCCTCTCGTCACCTAGGTAAAGACACTATCCCGCCACCCCCATCTTAGTAATGGAATGTTCTGCTTGTGCATTGACAAAGATTAACTGTGAGGTTGAAAATGCTGTTGTCATTGAACGTGTACATCTTAAATTTTCTAAATATTCTCAAGTTAAAACAGTCAACACCCGATTACATGGTAAATGGTGAACTAGGGAGGTATCCTCTCAGCATTTTCATCAAGATAAGAATGATTTCATATTGGTGCAAGCTAACATCATCACAAACTAGCCTTTCTAGTTTCGTATATAAACTTATGTTTCAAATGTCCATTGCAAATCCAAATTACCATTTCCCCCTATTAAAAGAAGTAAAATGTATTCTTCAAAATATAGGCTTTAATTACATTTGGTTGTCTCAAACCTTTATTAGTGTCGCTTGGTTGAAACAAAATGTGAAACATGTTCTCATTGATAATTTTTTGCAAAGATGGAGAGAATCAAAGGAAAATTCATCTAAAGGTTACTATTATAACATGTTTAAAGAGTTACCATCCCTAGAACCTTATTTACTAGAACTACCAATCACCTTTAGCATCTCTCTTGCTCGTTTTAGAACAGCAAATCATAGATTACCCATTGAAAAAGGAAGATGGTATAATATTGTAAGAGAGGAAAGAAAATGTTCATGGTGTAAAAATTTGATATGTGATGAAATGCACTTTTTATTAGAATGTCCAAAACTCTCAGAAATTAGAAACAAGTTTTTGCCTCAATACTACTGTATGTATCCTTCTGCCATATAATTCTCTCATTTGATGTCCATTACTTATAGGCCAATTCTATTAAAACTGGCGAGTTATATAAGATCATGTATGGAAATGTTCCACTGACATGTTTTCTCCTATTGTATCTAATTCCTGTATCCAATTACATCTGTGTATCACTGCCGTGATTTACGAGAATAAACATCATTCATTCATTCTCCAACTATCTGGGGGTCACCACTAATCAAAGTTGGTTTGTCGCTCATGTTTGTTAATTAGTGTGTCATATGGGCCTCATCAACAGGCCAGTGCTCAAAGCTGAGAAAAAGGAAGACCGAAGAACATTTAAAACTATCGGCGACACGATCTGAGTGTGATATATAGTAAGACTCTCTTCTTTTTACCACACACCTTTTCCCTTTCCCTTTCTTTTTTTTTCTTTTTTTAGTACTCTTGTCAAGTTACGAGTTTAGGTTGAGTAGTATGTTTCTATTCCTATATTGAACAATCTTTAAATAAAGTTCACACGATATCCGGATTTACAAATTCCGACTTTCATACAGCTTGGCATTTACTCTAGGAATGATCACACTCCACTGAAAATCACACAAAGCCAATTCTTAAATAAAATACGTTTAAATTAAATACATTTTAAAAATAACAATTTCACTAACTAGTTGACTGGCGTTCTATAAGTTGGTGAGTTAATAAGAAAATGATCTATTGCATTTAGAAACGTTTCGATGCAGATTCTTATACCGTCATCCAGTGTTTTTCTTCTAACAATGTTACTGTTACAGATAAAATTAAATCGTTGTCATGAGAATCTTTGGTAATTTCCTAAAACAAATTTGAATACACCCCATAACCAAAATAGTAATAAATAAATTTAAAATAAATATTTAATTAAATTTAACTATTCAACCTTAACTTTCCAAGCTTCACCGCCGATCCGCCTACACAGTCTAACCTGTTCCCGTGTACAATATGGTTATGAAGATTATTTAAAGTGACGGGCAAAAGAAAGTATATATGAACTTGAAAATTGGATTTGACCAACACATCGCAAACGCTATCAAAAGGTTTACTAGGATTGAAAACAGTCGCCGAAACACTGCAAACCTAAACACAACTATGATAGCCGTATCAAATCCACCCCCATCAAATAATCATTTCTAGTTTGTTTTGTTTTTAGCCACCATCAAACATGGTTTTATAGTTTCTTTTGCCTGGCAGGTTATGTGAAGTAAAGTTTTTGTCTATTTCAGTATATATCATATTCGCATTTTTAATAAACAACCAAATGTAGTTCAGGTGTATTTACGTTTATGTATTTCAATAAATTCGATCAAGATCTGTCGTTAAATACAGCTAAATAAAACGCAATGTTCTTTAAGTTTTTTAGAAGGTCCTCAGATGCGGTTGTTTTGTATGCTGGTGGTGCTCGGGACTTGCTATTATCACACTTCCTGAAAGCTGGTCAGACTGACCTGTGACTGTGAATGTTTTATTTATAGTTTATAGACAACCCATTTCCTATTATACGTTTGAGGAGTATGGAATAGTTTGAAGTTTGCCGTTACTATGGAATTTTGTTTTTTTTAATTATATGTTAGCTGTCATAATTTCATAACTTTAACGAAACGCACATAAGCCATTAATCTATTCGAAACATATACTAGTATATATATATTGATAATTAAATAAGTGGAGTAAGATTGAACACAGTTTTAATTGGCTAGCGCTCCACTTATTTAATTATTACTATATTGTGCCTGAGAGTTAGCACTTTACTGTGCTTTATATATATATATATATATATATATATATATATATATATATATATATATATATATATATGCTTTAAGTAGATCCCGCCCAAATTCACCATTTTCCATGTATTGGGGTTTTGTTTACGGTAGTCCAAAACTTTAATGTAATTTTTTAATAGCATTACGTTTTAATATTCAACACCTTTGAACCAATATAGGATTTGAGGCAACATGAAACAATGTCTTATTAAAAGAAATGTTTATTTCGACCTCTTTTAAATAGACAGAACATGGTTTTGTTTGTATTTTTGACTAGGGCTTTCAGTCGCCTATTTTGTGAACTAGCAATCCCTACGTAATTGTAGTGACGGTATCTACTATTTG